ACAGCCTTTTGCTAGCTATTATGAAGAAAAAAAAAGTGTTAACAGAGTTAACTTTAAGCAGTCTGTCTCTGCTTAACCTAGGGCACTATTGAATGATATCCTGGCCAAAGAACTAGCTCTAGGCTGTCTGCTTACAAGTTATTTAATGATTTTTTTTTCATTTCTTACTTTGGCATTTGAACAATTTGGTACAATTTTCTTTAACAAAAGGATTTTGTATAGATGTGTAATCAATTCAGTATTGAAACCATACCCTTCCTGGAAGGCTCCTGGTGTTATGCTGTATATACAGTTTAGCACTTCAGGGATGGTGATCTTTAACTCATATATACAGAGAGATGAATGGAAAAGGTTGTTGAAAGTACATGAAGATTATTCCAGAACCCTATGATTTTCCTTCCCCAGAGCAGGTAACAGTTTTGAGAAGGAAAATGGATAGCCTATTCTAAGTTACTGTAGGAGTACATAGGCTTTTCTAATTAACTCCTCTTCATACTGCTAATTATGGGAGTGAAGGAAATGTTTCTTCTCCAGGCTGAGACTGACATTTTAGACAGCCAAAGCCACTAACTAGGCAGAATACACTAAGTAAATCTCAAAAGAACAAAAACTTTTCGATCTTTTACAGCAAAGTTTTTGTTCCCTAGTAAAGCAAAACTGTGGAGGTCTGGCTTTAATGTATTCAAAGAAGCTGAAAAATCTTGATTAACTTTCTTCCCCTGCAAGAGGAAAACAAAAAAAAAAAGTGGAAGGAAAACATCATCTATAATAGCATTCTGAATCTTACGTCAATTCTGACTGCGGCTGCTCTTCACCCCTTGTGATGCTGTGTCCTGCTATTTTCCTCAGTCTCGAATAAATGCAAAGCCAAATCTGTCAAATTCTGTACTGGAAACATTTGGTGGCAAAAGTTTAAGAAACTTTTGAAAAGGATAAATAGAAAATAAAGTCTTGTCACATGTCTGGATCTGATTTTAGGTGGAAAAGACTACTCTTTATTTTAAATTTAAATCAAGGTAGGGCTGCAGGCACTAAGGAATGACTTTTCTTACATATGTTACATATGTTTTATCTTCCTGACCTCTCTCATAACTGTGAAAGAACAAGTGGTAAACGTGTTTCTAACTCAGACACATTTTGTCATGAGCAAATGTCTTTTAGGGTGAAAAGAGATTAAGTACTATGGTTTCTGAAAAAACAGAATCCTTGCAAAACAAAAAAGATGATTATTGAACAATTTTTAACAACTAAATCTCATACTTTATTACTGTTTATTCCACAGTTAAGATATATGGATGGCTTCATGACTGATTTTTTTTGCATGTATTGTTTTACTTATTGGAAGAGATGCATGGATGTTTTGGTTTTTTTCCATTTATTGTTTACTATTGCAGTAGTTAAAATATAACAATAAATGCAATAGAATTAAACTCACTTCTTGTTCTTCTTATATCTGTTTAAGGAGGAAAAACTTTTACTTTATGGTAGCTGTGGGAACTTATTCTAGTTATTTTAAAATCTAAGCTTGCTTTTCAGGTTAGATGTTGAGTTTAATAGCTGTACTCAATATTGGTGCCCTCCAGTATATGACTGCACTAATACTGTTTGAAATGGCAGTACATATATACATAAAAAGATTAACTGGAGAGGATGCACATTATTACATTTTTAAAAGCCTCACAGTATTTAATAGCAAATGTTCATTTTTTTATGAGTGCTGTAACAAGTAGAAGGAAATTTAGAAGGAAAAGGTGTGCGATCCAAAAATTCCTTCTGTCAAATCCTGTACTAACTTGACAGTGGAAAAAGATATGACAGTCAGTATTTTCAATGATAGATCATAAAATCGTAAGAGATCCCTTTTCAAAGATTTAGGGCTCCATTCTACTCTGTTTTGTGCAGTTTGGTCTTTATCGTCTAAAATTATTTAACTCTCAGAGGAACAAGCTTCCTGATACCTAGGTAAAGAAACAGTATGTGTCTGTAGATTTTGCTGAATCCAGGCCAGCAAACCAGCATGGCATACAACTGTGTGTTTTCTGCACATTTAAATTATTGATGTGAGAGGGACTGAATCATGTGAAAGAACAGTCTGATGAAGATGTTGCATAGGAGGAAACTGACTTCTTTACCTGAAGTTGTGAACAGGATTTCCAGTATGGTGCTTTTCACTGCTTTTATTGTTACATCTAATTGCACTAGGGATACTGTCCCTTTATAGGAAAATCAAAATCAGTAGTGGTTTGCCACCCACGAGTGAAAAGAAAGGCTGATATCATAGTTACTAGTTAGAATAAATACATTTATTTGAGGAATGTCGAACTGGCCTAAGCAATAAAATAGGTATTAGCAAACTAAAATAACACTTATGATGGGAAATCTTCCCTAAAGAGATCTGACAGGTAGGGAGAATTAGAAATAGTTCTGATGAAGTACCAGATGCTTCTCCCGAGTTGTCTCAAAAGATGGAAAAAAAATCAGCCCTTAAAATAAATTGAATTCTTGCAGTTATCTTGCTCTTGGTAATGGGGTACTACTAGTACCTGTGTATAAAAAGGATATTGAACACTGTAAGTTTGGATGATTTATGATCTTATATTCATTATATATTAAGCCAAACAAACACGGTTTTCCAGGTTTCCTGTCATTGGTGTAACATTTATTCTGTCAATATCTCATAAGACAATATTTGTCTGTTTTTACTAACTTTAATGTTTTGCCTTTTAGCTATTCAGATATTCTGATTGAAAGGGAGGTGTTAATGCAGAAATACATTCATCTTGTCCAAATTGTAGAAACTGAAAAGATTGCAGCCAATCAGCTTCGGCATCAGCTTGAAGATCAAGACACAGAAATTGAAAGACTTAAATCTGAGGTATGTAGCCAGAGCCATCAAGCAGTCATTAAACTGGAATAATTTACTCTGTGTGTTGCAATATATTTCAATTTTTCTATAATATTTGTGAAAATAACAGAAGCCATTAAAGTTAATACATAGCAGTCCCCTCATGAACTCTCAGCTAAATGTTTTTCTTGGAAGTATTGGGGACTGTTAAACTCCGGGGATTGCTCCTTTGTCAGAGACATTGCTTTGCAATACAGATGCTGTTGATTGCATTATTTCCTTCCTGTCTTCATACAAGGTATTTGATTCTCAACACGTTGGCTTTGGTTGTGACAGTATCATGGACTATTATTCCACACTGCTCTGTTCCACTGAATCTTAAAAATTCTGTTGCAGTCCTGAGCTGATAAGGTCAGAAAGGCACACTTAGTTTTGGGAGGAGAACCATCTCTCTTCTGGTCCTTCCTCCATCTGGATCAAGAGCTTTGCTGGCTTTCGGAGAACTGTGTTCACATCCCTGTGATCAAATATATGCTTGTCATTCTGTGCAGCTTTACCAGGCTTGACAAATGGGAAAATACTTTTCTGTTAGTTCTGTGATTAGGAGTTTCATTCACTTGAACAAGCATTTAATGAATTATTGTTTTTGTCAGATTATAGCTCTCAATAAAACAAAAGAAAGAATGAGACCTTATCAAGGCAACCAGGAAGATGAGGATCCAGATATTAAAAAAATCAAAAAGGTAAATGTGCAGTCTTCTGTGCTGGAGAGGAGAAGAGTGGGATGGGAGGATTGTACGGGGGTATTTTAGTCGGTCTAGTTTTGTCTTCAATTATTGTTTCATTAAGTACACTCAAATATCAAAATTCCTTTTCCCCTGCCCCTACTTAAAACCTCTTAAATTACATGAGCCTCAAGTGTTTCGGTGGCATATTTATCCCATGGTGTATTAGTTAATTAAGTGTTAATTTTTACTTGCAAGGTATATGTTCAGTTTCTTAAAGAAGCTTGGACATTGCATTCAACTGCTTGTAAAGACTGAAATTAGTTGTGGGCTATGTCCTGTGGGAATCAAGTGTATAGTGATTTTATGCTCCTTCCTTATAAAAATGCTTAGAAAGATGTAAGGAATGACTTACGTTCTGTCACTGCAGCTGGAATACAAATATTGAAAATGCAGAGAGCATTCTTGGTTTAGGTTGTCAGCTGGTCTGATTGATGGTGATTGTTCTAGGATACAATGTCCAGTGTTTTTAATAACAGGGTCCGAATTGTCCCGATCTGTCTGGATGTACATGTGCAGCTTTAGGTAATATTGCTTAGGGCTGGATATAATCAGCCTCCAGAACTGAATCCATTCCTGACTCCCACAGATCCTAATGCATGAGCACAAATGGAACTCATGCTTGAAGATGTGGTCCTGTATGTGTCACCCTTAATATCACCGTGTTCAGTCTCTTAAATTGCATAATATCCTTTGTGGTAGTGGACCTAGTTTCTGACTTTTTTTGGGTCACACAGTTTGAGTCGGGGTCAACACTGAGCTGGTACCCTTGTGTGAATTTTCCTTGTCATGCAGATTAAGTATTGTAATAGAAGCTGGAAATGTCTCTTTTAGTAGAAGGATAGCTCTGATTCTGTCTATAATTCACTGCATTCTGTATCTTCATTGTTTTGACAGTTTTGCCCTTTTTTAAAAGTTATTTATTCAGAGTAAACTGCTACCAGTGAGATTTTTCATTTCTCTTTCAAAATTAATGATCTTTACATTGAGATCAGGGCAAAGACATACTGAAATTTTCTGTGACCAGATGTAGACCTTTCCTGTAATCTTTAATCCACTTGTAACTTCAGTGGATATTACAGTTAATTATCTTTTCCATGACATAGAGATACTTTTGTCAAGAATGCCAAAAATCTGCCTTTTCTGGATAGTAGTATTGCTGGCCTAGGTGTCTGATACTAAGCAGTATATTGATATTTAGCTTTAAATACACATGGTAAGTGGTGTCTATTCAAAACAGAAAGCAAACTGAATTTAACAGCTGTTTCACAATTATGTCAATAATGGTACCGAGTCTGTTTGAAATATCTTACCTGGATGCCTTGCACAATACTTCTGAGGGTATAAGAGAAATGAGTAAGATGGTGTAAAAGGAGTTAAAAAACCTGCACCTGCACAGTGTGTAGCGCAGCTGTGCTGATAGGAAGCATATATACAAAGGTATAACATTTGAGCTTGCAGTAAAAGGCACCTTAATATGTATGTGTATCTTTTCAATCTGTTTTCTGACAACAAATATGACCAAGTGATTGTGAGGATTTTAGAAAAACAAAAATTTTAAAAAATGCATAACAGTTATGGATCAATAAGGGCAAGAGATTTTTTTTCTTTTTTTTCTTTTTTGTCAGAGGCATTTCATTTAGAGAGTTTTTTCTGCAATGAAAAGCTTATCATGAGTTCTGTAATGTTTTTTCTCATTCTTCTTTTCTGCTTGGTCCACTTTTAGGTCCAGAGCTTTATGCGGGGCTGGTTATGTAGAAGAAAATGGAAGACTATTGTCCAGGATTATATTTGTTCTCCCCATGCGGAAAGTATGAGAAAAAGGAATCAGATAGTTTTTAACATGGTGGAGGCTGAATCTGAATATGTGCATCAGCTTTACGTTCTTGTGAACTGTTTTCTGCGGCCCTTAAGGATGGCTGCAAGTTCAAAGAAGCCACCTATCAGTCACGATGATGTTAGTAGCATTTTCCTCAACAGGTATGGGGGGTTTTGTTTGCTTTTTGGGGGTTTTGTTGACCGCTTCTTCCCATTCTGCTTCAGTTTACAGTAGTGAGTCTGGCACTTATTTTTTTGCTCTGATGTAAGTAATGTCACTGTTTCCAGGGGTAAAAGGCAAGGTGCTGTCAGTGATGCCATTTGAAACCAGATAGACCTCTTTGCCTCCTTACATTCTATTTCTTCCTCTGCTAGAGGAAGGAAGGGGCAAATCGTGCCTCTTGGGGCAGTTCTCACAATTTTCTGTCACCTTTCCTGTTTCCTTTTCTCTTAAGAGAGCAAAATTGGACTTAGTGTCCTCATATGATCCAGATAAGACCCTGAGGATGAGTACATCAAATCTTCTATTTTCTGTTGTCCTGCCTAAGGAGCCTCCTTCCCTCTCGCTTGTCTTTTCATATCCTACAAAAAATAATTGTTCTTTGCATTGTGTCCCAGTACTATCATAATGTATATGTACAAATAAGCCAGCAGGCGTCTAAAATTTGATACAGCATTGAGATTGCATCCAAGTGTGCCCCAGACTTCTAAGAAATAGGACATGTTCCTTTAGTTATGATAGAGGTTTCCCTTTCGTAGCTCATTCATGATCATTATACTCTTGGTTTCTCTTACAACTTGGATGTCCCCTACTTTTGTTGACCTCATGAGCTTAAGTACCGTGTTAAAGTTCATGTTATAGAAAAGTTGTAAGCTTCAAACCTTAAACAGCAGCAAGAATGTAGATGACTACCACTGGCTTGAGGTTTTCTGCATTTTACTGGTCCTCTTATACTACTGAATGCATTGTCAAGACATATTATTGGAAAAACTAATCATTAAACTGGAGCATGTTATTTAATAGGTGCTTTTGTTTAAAAGAATTAAACAGAACATGCTTTCTACACCAAATACTGTATATTTTGTGGTGATACTACATTAAAAATTTTAAACAATGCAATAAAATGAAGCATTTATTTCCATAATAATGACTATGTTCTGTTTTTCTTAGCAAAGTACAAAATATGCTAATAATGAGAAAGAGATGTTTCTCTGTGAATTGTTAATCAGAAAATAAAACCTGAATTGTCCTTTTGTTTGTTTAAATACTTGTTTTTCAGTGAAACAATCATGTTTCTTCATGAGATATTTCACCAAGGCTTGAAAGCAAGAATAGCTAATTGGCCTACCTTAATCCTAGGTAAGTTACCATATTTTTCTCTAAGGGTACAATTTTCATATTTATTTCTGAAATTACAGTGAGGTCGGGTTTTTTTCAAAACAAGACTTTAAAAAAGTCCTTTTTGAATGGAACACATTTCAAGAACTAACACCATGAGATCTGATGGAGTGGGAGTCCCACATGGACAGTAATGACTGTTTCGCAATCCGTAGATGACAGTGCCTCTGAATGCATCAATTAGACACAAGCCTCTGAATTTTTGGTTGTGTTGTCTGATTATTAACTAATCCGATCAACCGTGTTTTAGCAGGTGAAAGAACTGAGTTTAATGTTTCTGAAATCTCAGTATATTGGAAACAGAGCTGGTTATAGTAATTCCCTTCCATAGAAAATAGTACTTTCATTAAAAATATGTTTTGAGAGGTGGGTACCTGGAAAAAAAATACATTTCTTGACTTTTTCTAGCTGACTTATTTGACATTCTGCTGCCAATGCTGAACATATATCAAGAATTTGTTCGGAATCATCAATATAGTCTACAAGTACTGGCAAACTGTAAGCAAAACAGAGATTTTGACAAACTCTTGAAGCAATATGAAGCCAACCCAGCATGTGAGGGGCGAATGCTGGAAACTTTCCTTACTTACCCCATGTTTCAGGTAGTCTCTATGTATTTCTGGTGACTATTTCTTTTTAGTGCTTGGTTGATTCATTTTGTGTTACTGATATTAGGATTGATTGCATCTTGCTTAACTAAAAATACTCTCATGCAAATTAAATTAGTTTTTATTTATTTCATTATTGTACTGAAACTGTGCCTGTAGACGTATTTTCTCCAGCTATACTGATTTGTGTCTATTCAGAATTGTATGTATGTTGAAGGGGAGCATGAGATGAGGACTGGCTCCAAAAGAAAAAAAGCTGAGAAACAATTATTCAGCTTCTGCCTGCAGCAGGATTATGAAGCGGTCCAGAGAGGGATAATATGCCTGATATAGCAAGTTAGAGCAGCCACAAGCATTTTACTAGGAACATGTTTTGAAGCTTGCCTCCCACTTTGCTCTCCAATGACTTGGTCTTTAGAAAATGAAAAATATACTGCAAAACTTTGGAAATTTTATTATCCTTCTGATATTCTGTCTTGATTTGCCTGGATTAATTGCTTGCAGCTATTTTAAGAGGTCTATGAAACACTGATGTGATGATTTTGTGACTTTTATATTTAACCTAATGTTTTACTCATTAAGAGAACAGTGAACCCCCTCAGCTTGCTCAGTTACTGGCAAACCAAGTAGAGTCAAAAAAAAAAAAAAAGGGGGCATAAGTGACACTTGTGTTAGTGCTAGTTATCGGTATTAGCTTAAAGGGCCATTAGCACCTGTGATAATACATTTTTTTAGCTTTGAGCTTTTGTATTGTAAAGTTTTGGGATTTTTTTCGTTGAGCTGAAACAAGATCATGGGATCTTAGAAGGGAGAGAGAGGGTCCTGTTCATATGTGATGGAGGATGTAATTGCTGATGACTTTTCACTTCAGCATAATAAGAAGTTGTGTCTCCTTCTCCTAAATAACTTCTCTTCTGTAAAGACAAGTTATGTTGCAGTATCACTTGATTCTGGTTAAGAGCCCTGAAACTGCTCTAAGTAAAAATAAATGGATCAGGGTCTTTGTGCTACCCTGTGGTCTTTAGTAGTCAAATGCTGTGCATTCTTCACCATCTGTTAGTGCAATGCCAGGTCAGCTGGCATTTTCAGTCACAAGAAATTTAGATGCACGTGTGCTATTAAAATTAAGGGAAGGTATGTATGGATCTTCCTGGGAATTTGAAAGTTTTCTCTATTGTCACCTGGATAGCAGCATGAAACGATGAAATTTAATGTCATATCAGTGTCTGCCTCTGATATGATCTTTTCCTTAAAATGTAATAGATGGATCTTGTGCTTCCCCAAACTGAAAACATACATATGCATATGCAGTCTCTATCACCCAAAAGTTCAGAATTTTTGGCAGTAGTTATATTTAGAATGTATGTCTAATTGTTTAGCTGTGGATTTTCATTTAAAAAAGACTATGTTTGCAAAACTTTTCAGACCAAGGTAATGGCTAATATTTAACAATAATCTGTATTGGAATTATTCCCTTAAGGAATAATACTGATTTTATACCTAATTTGTTTTAAGATTCCTAGATATATTATAACACTTCATGAACTCCTGGCTCACACACCACATGAACATGTTGAGCGAAAGAGCCTTGAATTTGCTAAATCTAAACTAGAAGAACTTTCAAGGTAAGATTTTTCTACCTTCTGTTTGATAAACTTGACTCAAAGGTTTTGAAATAAAAAATCTATTTTGTTTATTTTGATTTGGTTTTGTTCTTTTTTTTTTTTTTTTTTAAATCTATTTTAAATAATAGGATCAAACCAAAAACAAGACAAAGATAATGAAAAAAACCCCCAAAATACTCCAGCGTAGTATTTTGGCTCTTCTGGGTTTTTTTGCTAACATGGATCTACAAGTGTCTCCTTGTATTTTGGGTAGGGGAGAGCAGGAGTTGCTATAGGAACCACCTACCCCTGGGTTATGAGCAAAGCAATTTTCTTTACATAGAGACATACGTATTTTTTTCACAGTTTAAAGAAAAAGGGCATTTCCCATACTCAGTGACAATGGGAATCAATCAAGCTCTTCAAAAGCACTGAGTTGTCAATCTGTGTTATGGTTTACGTGCATTAATGTAATAACTGATTTTCCCATATACTTCAAATAATGACAGATAAACAGGAGCTAAAGGTATATTTTGAGAGCTGGTGCTCCCTGTAGCCTGGTAGAAATCTGCAAAATGAAGCTCTTCCCTGAACTCAGAGACCATTGTCAGGTATTCCTCTCTGATAGCCCAGTGAGAAATCTGATTGTTGTCTCTGGGAAGCAGAGTTTTCTGCTGTGAACAAAGAATGCTGCATGAACTCCAGGACATAAATATTGAGTATCTGGAGGATTCACCAAAGATGTACTTGGAGAATATTTGGTTGTAAAAGAGGGATTGCTTTACAGCTTTTGTTAATTGCATGCTCTTGACTGCTCAGTTTTCTTTTTCTGTTGCAACGAAGTTGCTACCTTGTGCAAACTATGCATTAATTTGGAGCTTATTGTTTTTTCTCTTTAGCCTGCCGTATCTTCAACAGAGGCAGCTTTCTGAGTCAGGTCATGTTGTGCCACCTCTTCAAGCTTTAACTTCTTAAAGAGCTGGGCAGACAATATCTTTCACAGAAGTGTCTGTGTTTGACTCCTGCAGCATTCAGCAACTTCTGCCCTGATCTGAGGCCCTTTGAGGCGGAAAGAAGTAATGTCTACTTTCCACTCAGACAAAGCAGAGATTTTCTCTGCCCAGGGTTATGTGCACAAGCAGATCAATCAGCTTTGACTTGGCTTCATCTCATAGAGTTCATTGGTTGATATCAATCATAGACTGATTTATCTTCCTCTGCTTATAAGGCAGGCAGTACAGACCATAAATAAAAACCTTTGTGACTCATTTCCATCACTTTAATGTAGTTCTGAGAGAGGGGGAGCTTTCAGATAGTGCAGTCTGGTCCCAGTTTAGGAAAATATTATACATCACAACACCATATAAACTTCTGAGTTAGGGTCAGCCTTGAAAAAGTTGGTATTTCTCTGTGTAAGGGGAGGATGCCTATGAAAAAATGGAGGAAAGTAAGAGGTGAGCCATCGAGGCTGTGGTTGTTAGAACAAGGGGGAAGTGAATGGTACACCCAGATATAAACTGAAGCAGAACAGCATGGTAACCTGAAGTCAAGGGCAGGGACTCTATGATGCATCATAACTAATACAAAATGCTAGGAAACATTTCCAAGTTTGTGGATCAAGAAGTACAATTCTATCAGCTGCGAAGGGTTTTTAGCTTGATGGCATCTATTAGTTGTGTTTAGGAATAGTCTATAAACAAGTTAGGCAAAATTGGTTCCACTGCTGCAAAAAATTAAATGATTGCAAGAATGATTTGAAAGGGAGGGGGAAAGGCAAGAAACTTGCTGTAGAGTGGTCATGTACTGCATGGATGTATCTGGTCTCTAGCTGGTGGCAAAGGACATCAGTTACCTTCTGTGTCTATATTGTGTAAGTGCAAGTGAAAATAGGCACAGCAGGTGCAGGATTCATTTCAGGGAATTTAAAGTGCGTTTTTTGTTGTGTCTGACAGGGTGATGCATGACGAAGTGAGTGACACAGAAAACATCCGCAAGAATCTAGCCATAGAAAGAATGATAGTAGAAGGCTGTGACATATTACTAGATACCAGCCAAACTTTTATACGCCAAGGTAAGACATCTTCTTTAAAGCTATCTATTTAATAATGAAAAAATTGCAAGAAAACCAGAAGGGTTCATGTTGCCATCACTGGCAGGTCACTGCACTGGGCACAGCTAATATCCTAAGACTGCTCATGGTTCGTGAAGGGTAAGTCACAAAGTGCCCTGATGACAACCAGTTTTGGGGCTGTAGATGAACCCCGCTTCTGTGCTGTTTTCTTCAGGAATGGTGAAAAACAGCAGCACATTAATGATAAAACACCCATGGGATAGAAATGTACATACTTCTTTTCTCTCTGTTCTTGGTGGGTTTGGAAGCACTTTCTGTTGAAGCTTAGGCATAGCAGAGGTGGAATTTGTTGTTAAGTTCCACAACATTATGATAAGTAATTTTTTTTCATTTAAAATAAGTACCACCTTTTACTGGTGACTGTAAACTGGTTGTAGGACTTAGCTGGTGGCGACAACCTCTGTGGTAAACCAACAAATGTGAAAACTTGAAGCTTAGCTCTCTCCCATTTACGTTAGAATTTACTTCTGGATCTTTGCAATAAGTTAGTGGTTTGTATACAGTAACTACATATCTCTAGCGTAGGGTTTTTACTAGGTACAAGCTTCTTTGTGTCTTAAAAGTTTTAAATGTATTTAGGGAAGGTTAGGAATGTACTTTAGGTGCATCCCTTCATGAGGCCTTTCATAGATACCCTCAGCAGACCATTTGGTATTTAGTAAAGCCATATACACAGCATTGTATACATTTATACATGTAATTAACATGCTTTTTACACATTTTGAAATCCATTCTGTGGTGTTTCTGTAGTCATGTGGTCAAACTGTGAAACTTCCTGTAATAACTTCTAAGATTTTTTGTACAACAGTCACTATTAAATTCCTTGATTCTCATTAAATATGTGCATTTGTTATAACTGAGGTATTTCAAGAGTTATGAGAAAAACAGAAAGCTGCTCTGTTGCATCCGCAGCCAAAAATTATAGGCCTGTGATTCTCCTAGATTGACTTGTACTATGCAATGTAATTAAATTTTATAATTTGTTTTAAGTATTATGACAATATTTTGTATTTATATATATGTTGGGTTTTCTCCCCTTAAGATTGGCTGGTATTATTTTGTCTCTGTACCCAGTGTTTCATAACTAAAAACCTATTATTTTTTCTGTGGGAATCAGTCTGAAAATGGTTACTGTTTGAGTGTTAGACACAGGTCAAAACCATAGTTTAGGTAAATTAAATTCAGATTTATTTCTGGGCATACAGTCAAAGGACAGTGGTCAAGACTGTATGTTACAGAATGCTGTATCACAGCTTATTTTTTTGGAACTTCTTATGCATGTGATTTTGTGTAAGTGCAGAAATCTGAATAGACCTAATGAAGTAATACCATTTTCCTTTCACATCTGACAGTAGGGTCACTTTGACAGTGATGTCCACCTCCTCTAGCTTCAGTTAGGCTCCTTTTCTTTGTAGACAGGTATAGGAAACCTCTTTTCGACTTAAAGGAGAGATGTGCGTTTACCTTTGTTCACGCTTTGTCTTTCAGTGTTAATTACAACTTTGCCATATGTTATATGCTTTACTTTTCTAAGAAGACATTGATTCTGTTCAGCTGTACACGTTGAGAGCATAGGAGCTGTCTCTGGCAGAGCTTTGCAATGTAGGTTGTGGTTCCCCTTCAGGTTTCTCGGGATGTCCTTTTCTCTGTCTCGTACTTTGGTATGGACTTTATTGTCAGGCACACTATAAGTCATGGCAAACAGTTAAGGAACATTTTCTAAAGGAAACATAGGGAGTCTCAATCTGGAATCTGACATTGGCTGACACCCAGACAATTGTCAATCTGGAGACCCTTTAGATGCTTCCAAACACTCTGTCTGATGTTCCTGCCATCAGCTGCTATGAATTTACCTCTACTGATAAATATATCACAATAGAAAAATCATGGAATAGCTGAGGTTGGAAGGGACTTCTGAGAATTATCCAGTCCAATCTCACTTGCTCAAAGCATCATCAGCAGGTTGCTCTGTACCATGTCCAGTCGGCTTTTTGCTGCTTCCAGGGGTGGAGCCTCCACAGCCTCTGAGTGAGCAACCTTTTCCAGTGTTTGGTCATTCTTATGGTAAAATTAAAAGGCCTCCAGAATGGAGAAAGCCAGACTGAACTTGTAAATCAGCCTGTTACATGTAGGCTAAAAAAATATATATATTTAAATACAACCTTTTTTTTTTTTTTTCTTGTCTTGAACAAAGACTAATAGAGGGACTATCATGGCAGTATTAAAATACTGAAAGTACTTAGGTCTGTAGCTGGATAAAAATTTCTGAGATTACATTGAATGTCCAAACTATACTATTAACAAATGTTCTAAAATTAGCCTCACTTGCTCATTGCAAGTGTACATTCGCCAGTCGTGACCATTTTTTTCCTTAAGAGGAGATCTGTAGAAGAATACATGGTGGGCGAATGCCCAGTTTTGTTAATCACAAAAGCTTGATAGGAATGCATGAGGTCCTTGCCTGATGTCAGCCATGCAGCACGTATAGGAGATGTGTTTTTCTCTGTAAATATTGAGCATCAAAGAGAGATAGTGCAGTCTCCCTTTTCTGCATTTAAAAAATATAGTTTCTTTTGATTTACCTTATTAGACAATAACATTTCAGCTCTGTACACAAATACCATTTAACCTTCAGCCCATTTTAGCAGAATAGAATATGGTGTTCCTGAAAGTATTGGAATGACAATTAAAATAAAAAAAGCTGTTTATAAGCCTATACCATTAGGATATCATAATTACAGACACTATTATTCTAAGAAGCAAAGCAGAAATGAAGTGTACAGGTTGAATATTGTTACCCTAAATATGTAGAGGAAATTTCAGGAGAAAAATGACACTGAGAATTTTGTGATGGGAATTTGCTTGGAAATTGTTTTGTACACAGTCCTTGGCCTGGCAATGGGAGTTGGGAGGCAATTGGTGTAACATGGAAAGGTCACCATTCCAACAGATGGGAATGGTCTCCTTGACATTTTTTGCAGTCGAGGCAGGTAGGCTGTTTTGTCCAGGAGAAGGGTACAACAACCAATAAGTATTTACGGTTTTGGTCAGAACTTAAACAAATCTAAAAATATTCCAGACCTTTGCAAATTTCTATAGTAGAACTTTACCCCATTGTTTTTTTGCAGTGACACGAATGTACACATTTAGTTTAAATGTGAATTGGCTGTCGAAGAACACTATACTTTGTAAATTTAGTGGTATATATTTTACTATGCCAGACAGTGTAAGTTTCAAACATATTAATAATAACTTAAGGCTAATTAAATGTATAGAGGGAACTAAGTGTAGAAAAATATTGTGTAGATCAACAGTAGCCTTCTCAGTTACCTTAATTTCTCTGTTTGTTGAGGATTGTATATGTAATGTTTTTGGCAATCTAGAGTAAGAATTACTAATCTAGTGTTTAATGCATAATTCTTTCAGCTTTACGTTGTGTCAAGATGCTGTCGCTAGTTTGAGCTTTGGTATAGCTATGCTAGTCCAATATCTTGTGGCCTCTGAAGAAGGCAGGCCGATATCCAACCCCTCGTGCTTGGTCTGCTGCTGTTACTTCCTTTGCATTGTCACTGGTCCTTTCTTGACCTTGCAGTCAGGCGTATCAGTAAACTAAGTCAGATACTTCTTTGCAGCATTAGTTTCCTGCTGGATTAGGTCTGTTAGCTAGCTAAGGCTGAAATAAGATGAGAGCAAGTGCAAGGGTGAGAGTAAGGGTAGATGTGTGGGAATGAGATTAGGAGGTCTCTTGGCTGCCCTGTCTGGTAGCAGCAAGTTGTATCATAAAATCTTTCCCTTTTATACATAGAGGAATTGCACTTCGCCACCAAACTCCGGAGCCAAATTCATAAATGATACACATGGTGATATCAATCTGGAAAAGCTGGTCAGAGACTGCTTTTAAGCTGTGAAACAGCTGAGAAGCAAAGCTATCCCCAGCCTGGAGTTCTGCAGAGCACAAATTCAGACTTATGTAACCAGGTTCAATTTAGTTCAGAAGTGTTTTACTGGTAACAGATTTTAGATGAGCTGTGGAGGACTGAAAATTATGCAGCATCAGGATAAGATGAAGAAATGTGCTTCATTTCTACCTCTCTTAACACACAGGCACACACATACACAAACCCTTTTCCTTCAGAAACTGTTCTTTTCATCCTCTGTCTCTTTTGCTTTGAAGTAAAATATCTTTTGCAAGTCTAGCAGCTGTGAAAAATGCAATTTGCTGTTTAGCTTAATCTTCTGATCAATGGGCTATTAGTGTGTTTAAATTGCATATGAATTTGCCCAAGATCTAATCCTACCATGTACTAGTCTAGACTGTACTTGCTTGAGTCTATTTGTTGTAAAAAACAAAGTGAACTTGTGCAAAAAATACGTTTGTCTTGTCCTTAAAACAGATGCTGATGTATATTGATATTTACTAGAAAGAAAAGTTACATTAATTAATACCATAATATTCAACATTAACACTTTAAACACTGACTACTAAATATTACTATAGTACAGTAAATTTTGCATCTTTATTATCAGGTTCCCTTATTCAGGTCCCTTCAGTTGAGAGAGGAAAACTTAGTAAAGTTCGTCTGGGATCATTATCTTTGAAGAAAGAAGGAGAAAGGCAGTGCTTCTTATTTACAAAACATTTTTTAATTTGTACAAGAAGTTCAGGAGGAAAACTGCACCTTCTAAAGGTATAGACTTTACATTATGACTCAATTACAAAATGAAGACACAGCTTCAGTGAAATGTCAAATTTTTATTTTTTATGGCTTTAGCCTTAGATTTGCATGTGGTGTTCTAAACAGAAGTGAGGTGATGCACAATAATGAACTGCTTTGGCTTCTCATTGCAAATAATAGAATTCAGCCAAAGTTCTTGCTAACTACAGTTTGTTTTTTTTTTTTCTAGAACCATGTAATTCAAATAAGCTGGGGCTTAGAAACAAGTCATTGACGTGTCTATTTGTATAAACTGGCACTGAGTGTAAGTCAGTTTTCAGTGCATAAATCAGCCAATACAACCCCATGGAATTGCCATAGAATATTTTCCAGAGCACTTATAAAATTAATTTTAAAACTCAATTCTGTTTTCCTGAACAGCACATTCTCTTAAGCTGAAAGGTCTGCTAAGAACGCTCTAGTTATATTTGTTGAGAATCAGGCTTTCATACTGTTGGCTTGTGAATAAAGAAATGTTGGTAGTTTACAGACAGGATTATGTTTAATAGAATTTTAATTTGACAAAGACAATTCTGAGAGGTTGTTAAGACTGTTTGTATGCTTTCTTACTTTTCACCCCTTAAATAGTTCAAGTATTTTGCAAAGTAAATAGGGTATAACTGAACTTTTAAAATCTTGTATGCATTTGATTTAAATTCAGGAGAAGATGAAATTCGAGTTATCTTTTTTGAAACTTGTGAAGAAATCTGTACGTAAGATAAATTATAGTGTGGTAAAAATGAAAGAAATTTTGCATATTTGTATATATTATTGGTTTGTTGGACTAAGAAAAATGTTATATTTCAGTTCTTGAGGAAAAATGTGCATCATGAAATTGATGAATCTTCCTAAGAGCTCTGAGTAATGTAAAATCTTAGAGCAAGGTATATAAAAGTTTAAAAATAACTGTAATGACAAATGGGAACAAAAGTAACAATCTGTGAAAAATGTGCTTTGTTTTCATAGACAGGAGGTGTTCTGTCTTTAATAGAGTGCACACTGATCGAGGAGACAGATGCGAGTGACGATGATTGTAAGTTACATTGAGCTGTTTGTAGTAATTACAGTTTCTAGTTTCTTAAAATTGGTACTCTTTGTTTATTTTTCATAAGAGAAAATTGATATGTTCTTCCCTTTCACGAAACCAGAGTAACACAGCATTAAATAGATTCAGTCAAATAGATGTTTTAAAAATGGGCATGCTGGCTTGGATAAGGGTTTGTTTTGTTATGTTTGTGTTTGCTGTTGACATCCCACATAGGATTTTCAAACAGACTGGCTGAAGGAATGTGACAAATGTATTTGCTGACTTTTGTATACAACTTCACCCCGAGGATCTGAGAAAGAAAAAATTATGCCTTAAAACAAGAAGCAGATAATTGGGTTTCTTAAATACATGGGGGTTGAGTGAGCTGGCAGAATTAGTGGAAAGTTTTTGTCTTGGACTCCCTACAAATCTTAACTGCAAGCTTGTTCAAATGAAATAACAAAACACATTCCCAAGCTGATTTTATTGTTACTCATTTTGGCTTCTGTCCTGCAGTTTTAGGCAAATTTTGCACTTGAATTGTGAAAGCAGTTTCACTAATTTCTGTGAGAATTCTAGTATGCTGGGAGTATATTGGTGCAGAAGTGTTAGAAGGAATTTAGCCTTATTTGTTATCTTTAAAAGTAATGTATAGCAAATCTGACTATTGTATTTTTGCAACTCTTTTTGTATTTGGTATATGTGAAAGACAAAATGAGTTTTGGATCCCCAGTTGGATTTGCCCTTTGTCAGAAAGGTGTTTTAAACTAACTTCTGTTTTCCATGAAAACATTATTTTCTTTGTCTTGTAATCAAGTCTCACATTTTTCCTTTTTCCCTGCCTCTGTCTGTAAAGCAAAAGGTTCTGGACAAGTGTTTGGACACCTTGATTTCAAGCTCGTGGTTGAACCTACGGATGCTCCTCCTTTTACTGTTGTCCTTTTAGCCCCATCGCGACAGGAGAAGGCTGCATGGACAAGTGATATAAGTCAGGTAGCTGAATGTTTTCTTTACCTTGTTTGTGTTGAGATCTTAGTTTATTCTGTATTTCTGAAAACTAATCCAAGAGACGAATGTTGATTTCTTGAGGGCTGATTTTCTGTGATACATAGGAAAAAACCTTAGTGTTACCTACTTTCCTCAAATTCTGACTTTGCTTTTGAGTCATCAGTGAAATGTGTCACAGACAATTGTGTCACAAATTGGTACCACTGTTTACAAATAGCAATCGAGTCCGTTGACTTAGTGCTTCTGCTCCATCCAGAGAGCAAGAAAGAAGAAAATAACGCAAGAAGCATGCCACCTGTCTTTTGCTGGAAAAAGAAAATTTGGAGTGAAAATTTGGATAATGCACGAGAACTTCTAAACAATTGAGACCACTGTTCTCTTAAGAACCAAGTTGTGTTTCTGACTGAGCCCATTGCCAGCAGAAACATTGCCGTAAAAAATTGCCTGCCTAGAAACAGTTTTTTCTTTTTAACCCTGGCTAGAACCCTCAAGACGACCATAGGAACTATGCTAACAAAAAGGAGAGATCTGAAATCTTTTCAGTAGATATGTGGTCTCCTATGTTTGCAAGTAAACAAAGTATACATTTCACACACAGCATTAGTCTTGGTGTCCAGAATTCTACACCTTATTAAATTATATATGTGTAAGACATGTAAATCATACTTGACTCTGTTCCTAGTGAGGCTTCTTGTATTTATATTATTTCCATGCAAACCATACACTTCTTATGAAAAGTGCATGGGTTTTTCAATGCTGAAGAAGCCTCCCCTCTTCTAGTTTGAGCTTGTTGTCCTGTGGCCCTAGATCCCCATTATGCTCGTTCCTTACTGGAATGACAATGCCTGTCAAGGAGGTGATAAATGCTGGCCTGTGCAGACTAAGGATAACAGTGCTGAATTACCTCAGGCAGTTTTATGATTGGTGCTAAGGGCTTCTGTGCAACATTTAAAATTCACATGCGGGAAATAACGTATTTTTATTAGATGTGTTTTTCTCTGTGTTTTTAGGTAACAGTTTGATGGAATCATAATGTGAATTGTTGCAACTGCACTTTTCAAATAACGTTAAATACCTGAATTTAAAACCCCATATAGCTACATAGCATATAGCTACGTAGACACATTTTAAACCTGAAGAGGTCTCTGGTTATCTTGTTTGACCAATCTAACATTGATCATTATTTTGTTACAAGATATACCAAAGCCAGCAGACTGTTTTTATTCTTAAAGTCAATGTAAATGTGTGCGATAATTTTGCAACCTCCTTTTTACTGACATAAAGAAACTATGTTTTAGATATATATGTATGTATGATACTTGACGAATAAAATGAGAAAGCATTATAAAGACAGCAGTCCTGCAGTGTTACATAGTGGGTACTGCCTGATCCACCGTCAGACTCTCTGCTGACTTCCAAGAGCAAGGGTTGTGGTGCTATGTTATCTTAACTACATGAAAGTACAAACCAGAAGATAGTGATGTACAAATAGCTTGAGCTACCCTTATGCACCACGAGCACTGAGCTGGTTTGAGGCTTATGCACCCCTAGTTTGTAAACTTCTATGGGCCACAGGACAGCTTGTAATTTCTAAAGCAGTATGTGCTGTAATGATGCCCCAGAAGTGTCTTCCCATGTTCTGTTACCTCACCCAAAACATTTATATGAGAGTTTGCAAGGAACTCCTTGGACAGCATCTTCACAGCTATGTTTCACAATAACAGCACCACTTCAATTTGTTTTTACAAGTGCATTTCTAGAAACCATTTATATTTCTCTCCGGTCTTTTTGAACAGTGTGAATGTTAGGGTATTAGTGTATCTGTGTGTAAAGTATTCTAGCTTTCTTGTAGCATTGATTTTTCAAGCTTAACACTCATTCAGGAAATGCTAGAGGTATTTAATTTTGTTCAGTTTCAAAGGAACTTCAAAGGAAATTTCACTTCCAACTCAAAATGCTTAATCATGTGGAAAAAAGGATACTGGATGCTGAGCTGGATATCCTGAGTGTGCTCACAAAGATACATGGACTTGCAGATGTCCAAATCAAAGCAGAAGACTAGAGAAGCATGTGCACTATAATTCTTGCATCACTGCTTTTCATTTATGAAGATACCTTGTACCAGTCAGTCCATACCCTGTAAAAGCTATGCTTTAAGCCTATAGCAATATGAAAAGTGTAGAAGTAAGTCTCCTTACCTTGTGTTTTGATCTTAGCAGTTTTCAATGTTTATTTTCACAGTGCATTGATAATATAAGATGCAATGGTTTAATGACCATAGTGTTTGAAGAAAACTCTAAAGTCACGGTGCCACACATGATCAAGTAAGTGCAGCTTTTTTTTTCCCCCCAGAGATCAAAATAGCTTGTTGGGTTTTTTTAATAGCAATTTTAACAAAAGAAATGTACATTTGGAAAATACAACCTTCTAATTTATTTTTTTCCCCAATTTTGTTGAATGGAATTAATTCTACATACCAAAAAATGTATCTTTTCAAATCTCTTCCTTGAAGTGATATGGATGACTCAAAATGGTAAACTCTCAATTTACAGTATTGGGCTGTATAGAATCATAGAATCATAGAATC